ATTTTTAATGGCCGAAAGATTTGATTATAAACTTCACCAAAAAAGACCTGAAGATGATTAATAGGCATGTGAAAGATGTTCATATTATTGGTGGCCAGGGATATGCAAAATAAAAGTACAGTAGGATACCAGATACATCTATTAAAATGGCTAAAATTAAAGACTGACAGTAACAAATGTTGGGCAACATGTATATGTGTAGGGACTATAGTGCATAGGTGATAATAAAAAAATGTTGCGACTGCTTGAAACTGCTTGGAAATTTATGAACGTGTTGTAGGGCCGAAGAGATAGTACAATGGATTGGGATGTTTTCCTTACATGTGGCTGACCCAAGTTCCATTCCCAGAATCAGACATGGTCCCTCAATCCCCACCAGGAGTGATCTCTGAGCATAGAGCCACGAGTAAGACCTGAGAACAGTCAGATGTGGTCCCCCAAACCTAAATAAATAAAATTTTATATATCCCTCTACCATATCTATCACTCAATAATTCTACTCCTAGACTTTTATCCCAAGAGAAATTAATTAAAATATGAATGCTCTAAATGGAATTGTTATAATAAGGTAAGGTAAAGGCCCTCCCGTTGATCGTCGATTTGCTCGAGTGGGCCCAGTAACGTCTCCATTGGAGACTTTGTTGTTACTGTGTTTGGCATATCGAATACTCTCGGAAGCTTGCCAGGCTCTCCGAGAGGGGCAGAGGAGTCAAACTCGGGTCGGCCATGTTGGCCGCTTGTAAGGCGAACGCTCTACCCGCTGTGCTATAATAACAGCCAAAAAGCTAGAAAATATAAATATAATTGTGGTATATTTATATAGTCAAATACTACTTGGGAATAAAAAGAAAGACATACCAAGAAACAATAATCTGGGCAAATCTATATATATAATTATACTAAGTGAAAACATATGGATGAAAAAGTAAATATTTTCCACTATACATGGAATCTAAACAATGGGACTTTTCTCCTTTAGAAAAGCCCATATTCTCTGTTGAACATATATCTCTCTTTCCCTCCCCTCTCTAAGTGAATTTCTCTAAATAAAAATATTTTATGTCACAAATAAGTAATTAGGTATTCAAACTCATAGACAAAGAACAGATTGATCATTGCCAGAAAAGTGGATTGGGGGAGTGTTAAAGGGGTGAGAAAAATAAATTTAAAAGTATAAACTTTTGTAAAAATAGTCATGGAGATTTTATGTACAGCAAGGCAACTGCCATTAATAATACTGTTGTGTATATTTGAAAATCTCTAGAATATATCTTGAAAGTGCTTTAAAAAAATGATGAAGTGCTTGGTAATTCCACATATAAAAAATTCCACACACATTATATAATTTTCAATTTAACCTACAGTGACAGTAAAAAAAAAAAGTCTTGTTTGGTTACCTGGGAATGGAGAGAGTGAGGCAAGAAGGTGTAGGAGAGAGAGAAAATAGAAAATGACAGCAAGAAACTTTTGGAGTGATAAAAATGTTCATTGCATTGAATGGGGTGATCATTTTGTGGGTGCCTATCAAAAATATACCAAATTGTATACTTTGTGTGTGGGCAGGGGTTAGAAGTGGGTTAGAGGCAGTACTGGGGCTATTCCCAGCAGTGCTTGTAAACCATGTGGTGCCAGGGATCAAACTGTGGCTGGCCAGATATAAAGACTTAAGCCTGGCCACCTTAGCCTCTGTGATATCTCTACAGCCCTGCCAAATTGTGTACTTTAAATCACAAGCCTTTTATTATATGTCAATATAATAAACCAATATTTTTTTAAAATAGTAAAACAACCACAGTAATCAAGATAGTGTATGATTAGCATAAGTTATCTTAGTGGGATAGAATTAAAAACAGTAAATAGACCCAAAATGATGTGGTTAATTCGTTTTTAACAAAGGTTCAAAAATTCAATAAGGAGAATGTCATCTTTTTGTGAACTCCTTTTTTGGGGGAAGAAGGAGGTTTGAGATACACCTGGCTGTGGTCGGGTCTTACTCCTGACTTTTCTTAGGGACCACTCCCGGCAGTGCTCAGGGGACCAGGAATTGAATTAGGGTCAGTAATTAGGGTCAGTCACATGTAAGGCAAGCTCTCCAACCTCTGTATCACCTCTGTACCCCCCAAAAGATCATCTTTTAAAAGAATTATGGTAGAGTAACTGAATATCATATAGAGAAAAAAAGGATGCCCTGCTAAAAGTTAATTCAAAGTGGGCCATTAGCCTTACATAATATCTAAAGCCATAAAACTATGGAAAATAAGAAAAAGTGCATGTGACTTGCATGTAAAATATATTCTTTGCATAGTACAGGAAAAGTGTGAAAGAATGAACAAATGTAAAATGAATGAACTGAAATTTTATTAAAATTTAAGACTTTTCACTGGGGCTATAGCTTGGTAGTAAGCACCTATCTTGCATGTGTGAGGCTCTGAGTTAGATTCCCAGTTGTACAAAAAAAAAAAGTCTTTTAACATTTTCTTACCAAATGATTTCATTAAAAAAATGAAAAGACAAGGCTCCTATCTTCAAAACACAGAGATATACTTAGAGTCTATAAATAATATTTATAAATCAATAATTAAAAGACAAGCTACCCAATTAAAGTAATATAGAGCAATTCTGGGAGTGGACAGGACATCAGCCCTCTCCTCATTCTTCCCAGTCCTCTTCATTCTTTTAAAAAATTCTTGGACAAGTACAGTGTAGCCATTTATTCTTTTTCCTTCAGATGGCTGTTTCAAGACTGTTCTTTCTTTTCAAGCCTTTACTTTGCCCTTCCAAAAGCCAGTCTTTCCCGTTGAGTATTGCTGTTTCACTTAGTGAAAAAAAACAGAAGGAAGCTAAGGAAGGAGAACAGGAAGAAAAGATGGAAGGAGGAAGGACAAAAAGTCGAGAAAAACAGACCAATTAGAAAATATAGAAGAAAAGTGATAGGATAACTATTCCTCAATGGATTCCAGACAGAGCCATCACCTTGAGTGTGGTCATAACCCCATGATCTTTCTCTTCCCAGAAGAATATAGTAAATGACTGGATAACACCCTGGCTAAATTATGCTACATGGTAAATGTGAAAGGATTTTGCTAAATAATTAAGACCTCTAATCAGCTCATTTAAGTTAATCAAAAAAGAGATTATTCTTGTATCCTGGGTAAATCTGATCTAACCAGTAAGTCTCTTCATTTTTAGTGATAATGCTAAGTATTCTAAATCTTAGATTTATTAGCATTTTGCACAACTGAAACATATATCATGAAACCATAGCACTCGCTACAGTAAATTTTATTTATTTCATTTCACCTCAATAATGTTTTAAGTTAATGTTTACACCCTTCTTCAGCAATGGAATTTTAAGGTTTTCAGAATTCAGAGCTAATGAAAGGATGAGACAACATTTATTTCTCCAGAATTTGCTTTACATACCCTTAGTAGTATAGATAGCACTAATAATGATTATGAGGAGTAACTGAATGTTTTGTTTAAAAGACACCTACTTGGTGTCTTTTAAACCTTAATACAAGGTCTGGATATAACCTGGGTATTCCTGAGTTCTACTGCAGTTTGAAAAGTGGGATAAGGAGGGAGAATTAATTTTAATGATAGAACCATTTGCAGGTTCATTAGATATATTCATTGAGAGATTTTAAAGATTGGGGACAGGTTTGGGCCCACTTGATGGTGCTCAGGGATTACTCCTTGGTTCTAGGGGAACCACACAGAGGATCCAATAGGGGGTGACTGTGCACAGGGAAAGTACCTTAACCCTGTACTATCTTTCCAGCCCCATTGAAGTCTTCTCTAGCTTCCATGCCTCCATGAAACAGAATTGAATAGTTGCAATAGAAATTGCATGAACAACAAAACCTAAAATATTTATTAGCAGACCCTTTACAGAAAAAGTTGCGAGCTTCCATTGTAGAGAGTAGAAAAAAAGACCCATTCTTTCTAGAACTATTCTAAGCAAAGATGAGGAAGTCGATAAGACATACGTGCCATGTACACAAATGAAGAAACATAATAGGGCTGTACAAGGGTGAGGGTGCATGCCTCATAACAAGCAATCCAGGTTTGATCCCTGGAACCATATAACCTTGTAAGTATTGCCAAGTATAGTCCTAGTACCAGGGTACCTAAGGGTGGTTCTCATGGTACTCTACATTCTAGGACCCAAGAAGACTCCCATACTTGGGCCCAAGCAATGACCAGATAGACCAAATATCACCAAATGTGACCACCAAGGTCCCCTGAGCACAGAATACACACACACACACACACACACACACACACACACACACACACACAAGAGTATTTGCAAAATCTCATCCAACTAACATGCTGCCATTATAGAGCTTAAATTGACATAAAAAATATAAATGATTAATTATTGGCAACTACACTAGCATGTGACAGGGACAAACGGAGATGTTACTGGTGCCCGCTCGAGCAAATCGATGATTAAACGGGAAGTCAAGTGATCAAGTGATCAATTATTGGTTATTATACCCAAGGAAAAAAACAAGGAGTATTGGGAATTTGGAGTAAAGGAAACCCTTGTATATCGGGGGAATTTAAATTGATGAAAACATTATGAAAGCAGTTCATTAGACATTAAAAATTTAAATTCCTCCAACTTCTGAGTATATATGCCCAAAACACAAACACATTAATTCAAAGGGATTAGAAGCACTCATACTTCACTGCAGCATTATTTACAATATCCAAGAGTGGAAAAAAACCGAAATTACCTTTTACAAATAATTGGGGAAAAAACTGTGGAATATATACACAATGGAGTACTACTCAGCTATAAAAAGGATGAAATCCTTCCATTTGTAGTGGAAGGACCTACAAGTGTAATGCTTATTAAAGTCAGAGAAGAACAAGCACCATGTATTTTTCGTTCACTTTTAGAACATAAAGAAACAAAATAAATGAACTCAAATTAGCAATTGTTATTGGCAGTAACTCAATGGCACTTTTATTTCTGTCTGCACACCCAGGTCTTATTGGATCATGAATCTAAATGCCTCTGTGGTCTTTCTGGGAATATCTTTTATCCAGTACTCTGGAGCCTGGCCTCTGGTTTTACTTTTTCCTTTCATTTCTACACTTATGGCTCTGATAACTCTCCATATGGTGCACCATAACCTCATTTATCAGCCAGAAAAATGTAAGTAAATCACATTTTACACTAATCTTTTAATTATTGCTATTTTCTCAATACATCTTCTTTGATTAAGAACTTCTTTCAACTCAGGAGAATTTGTAAATTTTGGCAGTTGTTGTGCATGAAAGCAAAATGTCTTTAAGATATGATAGTCTTTCTTTTATTTTCCTTTTTTGATTTTTGATTTTATTTTATTTTATTTAAATTTATTTATTGAATCACCGTGAGAAAAGTTACAAAGCTTTTAGGCTTAAGTTCAGTCATACAATGATCAAACACCCTTCCCTTCACCAGTAATTATTTTTCACCACCAAGAACCCCAATATACACCCCCATCCCTCCTGATGCCTGTTGAGGCAGATGATTTCTACTGAACTCTCTCTCTACTTTGATTATCATTATTTCGACAAAAGATGCCCCATTATTGTTTGGAATTTCCCCCCAACAATCAGAACTGCTGAAAAGGCATTGTGAGATAATTTGGTTTCTATAGCTGGTTATGAAAACCATAGGATGTCGCACAGCTGCAATAGTGGCCATGTGATTTTGGATTTCTGATATTTTACTAATTAAGTCTGGAGGGATTTTTTCCAAGAGTCGGATAATTAAGAAATTGGTGTCTGTGCCTCTGGAGCCATGGCCATGCTGGAGAGCTGCTCATGGGGGCAATTTATGGCCTCAGTAGGGCATGAAGGACAAGCCGGTTCTGCCCCCCCATCCCATGAGGCTGCAGTTTCCCCGTCACCTCCAGCTCATACCTGGCTTTCCAATAAGCTCTGAGGTGGCGGCCACCATGCTGCAGGGGAGGGGGGAGGGTGGAAGGCGGGAGAGACAGACACCCTTTCCTTCCTGGGGGGTGGGGAGACATGGCGCCATAGTTTAAAGCATAGTCTGTTTACATTTCTTCCGCAAGCTGCCGGGCTCTGGATTAGGTCCGTGTACCTCTGGTGCCATGGCTGTACCGGAAAACGGCTCATCGGGGCAATTCTGTTTTCCTTTTTTTAAAAAAAAAATAATAAAATATTTTAAAAATACACAAAATTTTAAAAAAAGAATTCCACCTAATTCTAACTTATAGCGTTAGAAATTACTACTTCATCTTTGATCACTTTTCCCCATTTCACCTTACAAGTAAAATCTAGATATTAGAGCATTATTTGTGTGTATATATTTCCATAAAGGTTAAATACATTTAAAGTAATTGCAATATCTATTTTACATTTAACGAACATGACATTCAAGGTCACTATGAAAACCTCTCTGATTAATTTCATTTAAAAAATTATCTACTTTATAGTTTATCCAAATCAAAACTTTTCTAAAGTCCATATATTTCAAATAGCACCCATGTTTTGTGAACCACATACAACTCCCCTGCACCCCTTGACTGCTATCTCACTTTTTCAATTTACTTTAATGACAAATTTGGTCATTTGACTGATAATTCTCATAGTGTGGAGACATGGAGATGCTGATTAAATCCATCTAGTGTTACCCAACAAGTTCTCTACATGTCCTGTGACTTGTCTGATTGACCTAGATACTTCACCAGATCCCAATTACGGGAGTAAAATTTCTTCATAGATTGTGTCATGGACTTGATTCAGGAATCAAAATGTCTGATTATCCCTGTTGACAGCACCCATGGTGCTGTCATTCCAGATTGCATTGGGAATTGCAAAAGTGGTGATGGTCTTTATGGCTTCCACTTTTATTAGCCGCCGTAATTTTATAAAGAGAAAAAAAAATCTCATTTGCTAATTATATATAAAAGTTCCTTTTATATAACAAAAAGAAGATAAATGTCATTTTTTTCCTCTATTCTTAGATTTTTTTTAAATTAATGAGCTGAGTTTTAACATCTTCTAAAAGTGATCTATTGTTTAATTTTAAACTGTAATTCAACTCATGGACTTAAAATTTGGGGGTGTTGTTTATTTTTTCGGGGGGATGCCCATATGGTGCCTCAAGTTCGTCAGGAATGACCTCTGAGCACAGAACCAGCAGTAAACCTTGAGCACCACTGGGTGTGGCCCAAAAACTAACAAAAAAGACACATTAAAACTTTATTTAATGTTTGTATGTAAGTGTGCTCATATGTATACATACATAGACCCTCCCTTCTTATATAAGAAGAAATGTATGATTCGCACTTTCTCTTACCTGATTTTTAATTTAGCATTAATTAGGGATTGCTCAGACTCAGAGACTATAAAATCCAGATCCCGGAACCGCGTGGCCGCATTTGCGACCGCGCGACATCTTATCAGAACTTTTTTTTATGACATCTTATTGTCTCATTCCTACTTTGGACAAACTTGCAGGCTATTGAATGTAGCCTGCCCACAGGGCAGAGTCTGGCAAGCTCCCCGTGGCCTACCAAATATGCCAAATACCAGTAACAATGATGGGTCTCATTCTCCTAAAGAGCCTTGAATATAATCTCAGGGCTAGGATGAAAGAGACGTTACTGGGGCCTGCTCGAGGCAATCGGCGAATAACAGGATGATGAAATGAAATGAAAAAGGGATTGCTTATAATTATAAAAGTATTCCTATTAATATCCATGTAGTACACCGTTGTGTGCTGAAGCATTATCTTACCATTCTCACAGCATGGCTATGTGAGCTGTTTCTTTAGTTTTGTTATGTAAAATGAATCCTGATGAATACTTCATTACATACCTCCTCATATTAACTTTAGGAAGATTTTAGAAGGGTTGCCAAATTAAAAAAAGTGAATATCTTTAAAATTCCATTTTTTGAGTACCATGTTGTACTTCCATCAAAACATGTTTGATGCTGATTTCCCCAGTCTCCCCAAGAAAGGAGAGTGTTGACAATTTAAGGGTGGGAAATGGCATCTCACTGGGAAATTTTGTTTTGGGTGCCACACCTGACTGTGCTCAGGGCTTATCCGTAGCTTGGTGCTCAGGAGTCACTCCCTACTGTACTCATATGACCATGTACAGTGCCGATGAATGAACCCAGGTCAGCAGCAGGCAAAGCAAGTGCCGTATACAGTCCTCTAACCTCACTCTGTCTCTCTCTGGCCATAACATGACTCTTATTATAAGAATAGTTGAGGGGTCAGAGCGATAGTACAGTGGGCAGAGTGTTTGCCTTGCATGCAGCCCTCCTGGGTTTGAGCCCTGGTATCCCATATGGTCCTCTGAACTCCACCACGTGTTATCCTTGAGCACAGAGCCAGAAGTGCTAAGAGATCTTAACACTGCCACGTATGGCTTAAAATCAAAAAAGAAAAGAAAAAATGAAAAAGAAAGACTTGTTGAGGATCTTTTCATGGCTATAGAGAAAATTTTTCAGTTCATATACCTGAACATTTTCTCCTAAAGCTATGCAAAATTTCTTTCAATTTTTAAAATATTCTATATATTGGGGATATTATTAACCTATTGTCCAAGACTAAATAATATATCCCATTTTCATAGATCTTTTAATCCTGTTCTTGTGTTGCTATCTGTAAATACTTGTATTATCTTCCATGCATAAGGCTTTGTCAGTTTCATTTCATCTTAGAGGTTGGAATTTGCTTATAACTCCTTAGTCTCCCTTATTGGGTCTAGATTTTTAATCATGGTGGAAAAGTTTTCTATGCTTTTAATAAAAAAAAATTCACTCATGTTTTCTTTGGGTATGTGTGTGTGTGTGTGTGTGTGCGCGCGCGTGTGTGTGTGTGTGTGTGTTCTGAAAATGAAATGTTTTTGCCTATTACTCATTTTGTCCATACTGGTAAGGTCAAGAGGGACACAGAACAACCTTTGACAAACCAGGTTTCCTATGTTTTTGTCCTCTGTAGTACCCTAAACTTAGACTTACCTTTTTTTTAATCTACTACATTGTATTAACCCTATGTTTGAACACAGACGTTTCAATTCTTATAAATACTTGAGATGTGATACATGTTCTATTAATGTTTACTATTATTAAACTGGGTTTGGAAAATGAAACATAATTTATATAAAATGACTTGCCTAAGCCAATAGTCAAAGTGGAGCCAAAACCGATGCCTTCTGCTTCCCAGCTTAGAGCTCATTCTGTTCACTACATACTGAGACACTGAACAAGAAAATTTCATCCACAGCTGCCCCACCCCTCTGTGGTCTGTGGAATACAGCCAAGCATATATGTTCTCTTCTAATCTGTGGAGTCGGTTCAATATGCAAAAAAAAAAAACTTTTTAAATCTATGAGTCTCTGTTTGCTCCAAACAGCCAACAACAGGAAATGCAAACTTTGAACTAATGAAAACATGCCATTTCCTGGAGTAATCATGAAATAATTTGCAGTGGGATGCTAAATATACACACGCATGTGCATTTATATGTGCAATGCATCCTCGCTCTAATATTTTAGATTTATATTTCCTAAAGAACAATTCAGCATCTACCATCTTGCTTTCTAGACTCCTATTTGAAAACATTTTTATCTGAATGAAGAAATACAATTCTTCAAGTAATAAAGATCTGTACAACCAACTGCTTGCCTCGAGCCTGTTGTCATCCATTCCCTGAATATTTTAGCATTATGAGAAGGCATCCTTTTCTTTGAACAGTTACAAGAAGAATTTTATTAGTTGTAAGTAAAATTAATAGTAATGTCCACTCAGGGTTTACACAACACTCCATAAAACAAATACTCCGGAGTTGTTTTTGTTTGGTTGTGTTTTCTAGTCCAAGTTATAAAATCATTCCACTATGAAAAAAGGAAAACTCTATCATTCCTCTATTGAAAGTATATAATCCTTATTTTGGCTTCTTTCTCTCTGATGACTAAATTGGAAATACTTCAAAGCTGTAATTCAAAGCCATAGGTGACCTTAAAGAAATGATTTTTTATATGCTACCTTTTATTTTAAGGTAACTTTTCAAATGTGGACGAGGCATTCCATTATGTTTAGCTGTCAAGCACGGCCTTCATTTGCATTTCTTCCCACTGCTATAATTTTGAGAACTGGCAGGTGACCAAAGAAGAAAAAATGTGC